GTTTACAAATAGTACGTCAAACTCCAAGGTCAAGGTCAGAGGGTCAAAGTTCTTGATATCTAATGAAAGGTCTTGTCACAAGGATTAAATATGTCAAGTGTGAAAGCCCTAGCCCTTACTGTTCAAAAGTTATGGCAAAGGTTAAAGTTTTTAAAAAGTAGGTCAAACTCCAAGGTCAAGGTCAGAGGGTCAAAGTTCTTGGTCTTGTAACAAGAATTAAATATGTGAAGTATGAAAGCCCTCGCCCTTACTGTTCAATAGTTATGGCCAAGGTTAAAGTTTTTTCATAAGTACGGAAATCTCCAAGGTCAAGGTCAAAAGTCAAAGTTGATCAAATCCAATGAAAAGACTTGCTTTAAAGAATGCATATGTGAAATATGAAAGTCCTAGTATCTACCGTTCAAAAGTTATGGACAAAGTAAAAGTTAAAAATTTTTGTGTAAAAGTGGGTCAAACTCCAAGGTCAAGGTCAAAAAGTCAAATTTGATGGTACCCAAAAAAAAAGGTCTTGTCACAAGGAATATACAAGTGAAATATGAAAGTCATAGCTCCACTAAATCAAAAGTTATGGGCAAGGTCAAAGTTTTTGTGACGGACCGACAGACGAATGAGATTTAATGTCCCCTCCCTTAAGTGAAAGCGGGAACAATAATAGATGGGTACCCCAAAGCGTAACAGACGTATGGACGTACAGAAAGATGGACGTACATATAGACGGACATCCCAATCACTATATATCCTCCCACTTTTTAAGTGGGGGATATGATGAGGTACAATTCCTGAACAAATTTATAACAAATGGGCAACTTTTGCTGTGAAACAGTCACACTGACATTGTCAGTTACAGCTTTAAGTTTAATGAAATGTTTGTTTAACTATACCATGTATACAGAAAATGGTTTTTTTGGAGATATTTCCTAAAAATTCCTACTTTAATAGTACACTGTAGTATTTATAAAATGTTGATAATGAAAACTGCCAGTTTCTTTACTTTATAACTAAGTGAAATAAGAAAAAAATGAAAATGATCAAATTTTTCTGGGACAACTCCTGTATAAGCATTATGTAAAATATGGCCCAAGAAAATCTCTGTTCCTAAACTACCTGTATCATGAATACTATTGTATAATACAATAGTATTTAGAAAAGTTATAATAAAATCACATTTTTTTTCATTTTCTGTCTATAATTTTAAAAAATTGAGTATAAGGCCACATAAATTTGCTTCTTTTGTTCTCGGGCCAATTTGCTCCAAAACAGATCTGATGGAGGGAATCTTTTTTTTTAATTTTTATCATTTTTATATCATTTTTTATTGGGGATGAAATAGATGATGAGGGAAGTATTTTTTTTTAATACACGAGCTTTCTATAAAACAGTGATAAAAATTTTTGTTCATAGATGTACTTCCAATACTTTCCACTTCTGGTATTATCGTTATCCATTGCTTATGAACATGTGAACATTATAGAACATTATAGGAACTAGAAAACTGACCAGTCAGCAAGGGCCCCGCCATGTGGTAGAATTAAAAGGGTGCAGCTTACGGAATGATTAAAAAATGTACAAAGAATAACCAACAGCCACTGTATTCTTAAAATTTCAAGATAATTCCTGAATATTCAAAAACCTGAAAATAATATCCTTGTATTTACATTAGGCAATAAAGAAAAACTTGACATTGAATGTATATTTAAACAATTATGAAGCTTGTGTTATATAAAATGCCAGCCTTCAATGAATGCAAAATTATCATGAAGGCTTGACCTTAACTTCAAACAAACAGCAGTTGCAGACAAAAGTTTTCATTAATCTGAAAGTGACAGATAAAGAAAAGCTTACTAAATTTTCTGCAGCAGGCTAGATAATTAATCCCAAGGGATTAATTGTACCTCTCTCATCATTTTCTTCTAAAGTTACAATAAGAACTTTTGCAGTATTCATGATAGAATGGGGTTTTTACACAACTACCTTAAAAATTAATAATATTCTTGAATTAACATAAAGTGAAAAAAAGTACGTAAGGGTTGCCCGCAACCCTGTGTCTCGCCTGCTGTCGCTGTGGTTAGTAAGAAATGATTGTCTGATAAACTGAAGCATTTATTGACATTTCAGAAGGAATAACTCAAAAAGTGGATCGAGTCATTTTGCTGGTTTTTAAAGAGATATTGTCATGGACTTAATAAGAACTGTAAAACGTTTCTATCTGGACTGACTATAGGTATATTTTATATGGATTTAATATATAACTTTTGCATACTGATGAACACAACATTTTCCTCTTAGTCAATGTGTAATGCACTGCATATGCCAACTGGTAAACAGAAAAGTAGGTAGGATCCAAATGCATCATGTAGGTTAAATATCTTCTGTACAGTTTAAAATTTCCATATTTCATATTATTCACAAGAGTAGGTAGGATCCAAATGCATCATGTAGGTTAAATATCTTCTGTACAGTTTAAAATTTCCATATTTCATATTATTCACAAGAGATAGATTGTTTTTTGTCCACTTTAAGTTTCTGAATAACTGCTGGAAATACTATGTACACTTTAAAAACACTGTATCATATGTTTGTGTTAGTAGTTCATAGCAAACCACAATGGTTTACACAACGTGTTATGAGTCGCAATAATTTGAACTTGCATTTTGAAATCAAATCCACTGTATATGTATCAAGTCATTCATGCAGAAAATGTAGGTGAAGATTACCTAATTATGGTACTGATATTGTTGGTTACCTATGATGTGTAGACTGACAAATTATCATGCCACTATAAGTTATAGTTGCTGAGATATGGACCTCCACCATAAATTTATGCAAAGTCACTCATGCGGAAAAATGTAGGTCAAGATGACCTAATTCTGGTACAGGCGTTTGTGGTTACCCATGATGTATCCACTGACTAACTATCATGCCACTATAAGTTATAGTTGCTGAAATATGAACCTCCATTATCAATTTAACCAAAGTCATTCATGCAGAAAAATGTAGGTCAAAATGACCTAATTCTGGTACTGATGTTTGTGGTTACCCATGATGTATCCACTGACTAACTATCATGCCACTATAAGTTATAGTTGCTGAAATATGAACCTCCATTATCAATTTAACCAAAGTCATTCATGCAGAAAAATGTAGGTCAAAATGACCTAATTCTGGTACTGATGTTTGTGGTTACCCATGATGTATCCACTGACTAACTATCATGCCACTATAAGTTATAGTTGCTGAAATATGAACCTCCATTATCAATTTAACCAAAGTCATTCATGCAGAAAAATGTAGGTCAAAATGACCTAATTCTGGTACTGATGTTGTTGGTTACTTATAACCTGTACAATGACAAATCATCATGCCATTATAAGTTATAGATGCTGAGATATGGACCTCCACCAAAAATTTAACCAAAGTCACTCATGCAGAAAAATGTAGGTCAAGATGACCTAATTCTGGTACTGACGTTTGTGGTTACCCATGATGTATCCACTGACTAATTATCATATCCCTATAACTTATAGTTGCTGGAATATAGGTCTTCACCATAAATTATCATGAAAAAACTAAGTCCAACTTAAGGAAAAAATACGGAAAAATTTGAATTTTTTTTTTCAAAATCATACTTGGGATATAAATTTTTATCCATACTGAATATTGTGTCCAAATTTCAAGAAGACTGAATAAAATTTGAGAAAGTTATTGCAGTTTATAAAACTTTGACATTTGGGTTAACCAAAAGTTGGACGCCGACGACGACGACGACGACGGAATCTATGGTCGCTATGTCTCGCTTCGCGACATTCGTCGCAGGCGAGACAAAAAGTAAATCAAAAACTCTTCTTTAATCTATTTCTTGTTTTTAGAATTCAATGAAATCATAACCATTGAACAAAAATACTTGTAAATCATAAAAATTTATATTTAAATCCACATTTCAGAGTGTTCATAGCATTCCAAATTGACTTAACTTCAAAACAAACTTCATTTGCAGACAGAGGCAGTAATTCATCTCAATGTGACAGATAAAGATAATGCTCTGGATTTTCTTCAGGAGGAAAGCTAATTAATCCCAAGGGACTCATAGCAGCATTCAGTTTACAATGGAAACATCTTCAGCAGTTATCTCTCTTTGCAAATGCATTCTTATATAAAGTTAAGGAATCTACCCCACCACCCCAGCTCCAAACCAGGGGACATAAAGAATCAAACTTAGCATCAAAATATGTATTTCTGTCTACTGAACTACCATACCAAAACTGTACTTGATTGGGCAACCATAAAAAAAGTTGCCCATTCATTCTTATGCATAGTTAAGGAATCTACCCCACCACCCCAGCTCCAAACCAGAAGACATAGAGAACCAAACTTAGCATCAAAATATGTATTTCTGCCTACTGAACTACCATACCAAATTTGAACTTGATTGGGCAACCATAAAAAAAGTTATTAGAAAAAAACAGAAAATTTGCGGACGGAAGAGTGACAGACGGACAGACAGACAGACAGACGGACAGACAGAGTGATTACTATAGGGCACCCGCAAATCCTTGTGGGGCCCTAATTATCTTCAAATGTATTGCTAAACAAGGTAGCCAAGTCTCTTTAAAAATAAGCAATATTTGAGTACTAAACATGCTAAACTAAGAGAAACTAAGAGAAAATGAAGACAGAACTTTTTTGTCGGGATTGGTTTTTAGTTTATCAAAATATTAAGGTAAAATTTGGAATGCAGCTACCTTAAAATGGATGCACGCAGGCCTGAGAACTGTATTTTCAATTCTATTTCTATGTAGCCTAACCATTTTTAAACTAAATGAATTTCATGATCAACAATATTACAAAGAAACTGTCCACGCTTTCTGACAAAGACTTGAAACTGAAGTTTAAGTTTACAGAGGAAGAAATATGCATTGTATACAGATGCTAGATAGACACCAAAACCTGTTCAGCTTTTTGTTTAAAATCAAATAAATAAGTTTTGGGTGAGCTACTATTACCTGTTGCTTGAAGCTCTTTAGTTTTCTGTCTAGAACTTCTTTCTCATCACACACTATGTTGATCCTCTTCTCCAACTCTGCAATTTTGCTGTCAGCGACTTGAAGGAGGTCAGCAACATAGGGGTCGTCTGCTGCAGCAAAGGCGTGCTTCATGGGGCCATCAGTGGGGGGAACAGCACAGTCAATCTCCATCCTTTGCCGACGGAAGGGTATGCTCTTCTTCTTACCTCCTTAAATGTTAGGGAGAACAATTTGTTCAACTTGTATCTAAATATGATTTGAGCATTGGAATGTTACCAGCCTTTGTAGTTATATACATTTACACACATATAATTACATTTATTTACCATTTGTTTACAATGTACCATATCAAAGTAATGAACTGACAAAAATTATTTACCCAGTATTTGATTATAGGAAGGATAGGGATTGGGACTGGATATGGGGAAATTAATCATTTTTTCTTTAAATGAATTCATCTCTAAGCATTTAAAAAAAAAATCGTTATTACCTGGGGTCTGAACCACAGCATGAAAATTTTTCTCCTGAAGATGCAGAATCCTATCCGATTTCTCTCTTGATTCTTTTTCCAGTTGCTTGACTTTGTGTACATATTGATTGTTCAGGAATTTCAAATCAGCATTTTCATGTTCAAGTTTCCTAAGAGATGCTTTTAACTCTGCAAAGCAAGTTTAATTATTATCAGAGTAAAGATATGATGCATTTTTTGTAGGAATAATAATATAAAAACAAAATTCTGAACCAAGGACTATCTTTGCAACAAGGTTCAATATTTCCCCTGGTAAACACTGAATTTTAGTATTAAGGTGTAGAAACCAAAGTGTTTTTTCTGCTTTCCAAACTATCTTTTATTCAATTTTGAAAGATTTCCATTTAACTATTGTAGAATTGTGCCTTTTACAAAGTTCTATGTATCTACTTCATATCGTAATTGTGTAATATTCAGTACATATATACCTCTGACAATAGCATCCGATTCATCTTTCTGTTTGATGATCTGTTGATGGAGGTCATTATTTTCCTTCACTAACTTAGCATTGTCACTCTTGTAAGGTTCAATTGCACTGTCCACATCTTTTGTTTCTACCTCTGTCTTACCAAGCTGTAACTTGGCATTTTTCAAACTTTCTGTGGTGTGGACGAGATCAGCAAATAATTTTTCAACTAGTGGCAGTGACTCTAAACCCAAGGTTTGTCTGTATCCAAGCTGGTCAAGTCGCTTACGTAGATTGGTAAACTTCTGCTGAGCCTGTGCTGAAGTTTTATTGCTGCTGGACATATTGCGTACTTATTTCTCCTGAGGCCTAAAACAAGACAATATTTTCCCGCAAATGAACGATAAGCAAGTGTATATTGCTGACTCAAAACTGAAAACATATAACAAAAATAGAAAGGCGTGGTTATACAAACAATCTACATGACTGAACGTTAAGCAAACCGAGTACATTCGGGTTAATTTTTTTTGTATGCAACATCATTTTCAGAGCTAAAAATGAAATCAACAATTATTACCTTTCAATATTGATGAAGATGTATAACATAACTTAAATATTCATCATTTTGATTCAGGAAATCATCATTACACTTAAAAACGTTTTAGTTTACAATATTTTTGACATGTACCGACAGGTACTGTTTAATAATGGCGGAAATGATTGTTTCCGCCTCCAGAAGAAGAAGAGCGCTAAAAGGTGAGTCTATTCACATTAAAAAAAACAGCCTATCTCAGGGACCTATATACGATATATGTACTAGTATAAGTCACTGCCTATGTATATTTTGTTACAAATAAAATTGAATAGTATACCTATAATTCAACCAAATTTGTCACATGTTCCCTGGGTTGATCTTTCCACTTCCCACGAATGGTCAAAAAATGCCTCATCTAAAAAAATAATGAAATTTTGATAATAGATAGAATAGACTTCAAGCTTTATGGAACTGTTTACCTTTTTTTGATATCTATTTTACTTTTTCTTTAAGAGAGTTTGCAGTATGGCATTGTTTTACTAGAAAATTGTGAACGGAACGTCACAATTGGTATAACGTGACGTAACGTCATATAGGACAATAAAAATTATGTGATTGTAACCACAAAAATGACTTGATAATGGATAATTGAATACCAGGTATGGCATTATCAGTTTAATAGAAGCACGTGGCCAGTTATATTTTGTGCGATTCTAACAATGCAAGGCCCAATAGCAATGTTTTTGAATGTAAGTTTGGGTTGGGGTGGAGGAGAAAACCTCCACAAAAAATTAACATGCAGCAACAATCCTCCTGAAAAACTGCGTCCACAGAGGTCAATAATACTATGTTTGATTTTACCTCTTCACTATATACAACAAAAGGAATATTTCTTGCTTCGTATTTGTATATAAATATATATTTATATAGTTAATACATAAAAAGTAAATATACTAGTAATCACTGGCCCCTGTGACTACACGTCCTCAAAAAGTTCTATTCCGTTAGGGGTGGGTGGCTTCCTCTAACTTTCATTTAATGCAGGAATTTGCCAATGTTTAATCTTTTTAGCCATGGGCAGCATCTAAATAAAAATGTACGTATCAAAACTAGGCAAAATAATATTGAACCCCCCCCCCCTACTCTGTTACGGACAAATATAAGATAACGGGATTTATTTCCAAATAAGTCATCTATGAGAGTTCGCTTGCACCCCATTCATAACAATCATTATTCGTCTGTTTAAAGTAATTTTGCGAACTCTTGTGTATGTAATATTTGAAAAATGACTGCAAGAATGCACAAATATCCTCCAAACCAATGAACATTTAAAAAAAAAAACTGGTTGAATTCAATTTGCATGGAATTTTGATTGCTAAAAGATATTCTTGTAAGCAGTTTTGCCGAAACATTCGCTATATTGTTAAGAAAATAAACTCTTAGTCATTTTCTACAACATGTAACACCATTATCAACAGATACAATTTCGTTATTAACTATTAAGCCACCATTTTCAACATTAAACCCTCTGAATATTCGCATAAAAGAATCTGGGACTTGATAGTCATCATCATGGGCGATGTCCCAAGTTACGCTGTTCAGAAATTAAAAAAATTAATGTAAAAAAATTACAAGATCACTAAAAGTTGCCAGACATTACCGGACATTAATTTTACTACACACCACAAATTCATTATTGTGGACTGTTATGATAAAGATATCACTGAAGTTACAACACACCTTTGAGTATGATGAGCTAGAAAAATCATTAACTTGTGATAAGCCGAAAGTTTTACTTTTCCTATATGCCTCTCTTTGTATTAAGAGGCCTTTATTTCTAAAGACAATAGTGGCAAACTAGTGAGTATACAAATATAATATTATATTGGCGTCGGAAGCAAATTAAAGGGGGGGGGGTAAGTGTAAGAATTTTTACCTTAAGAATACCTTAAAAAAACCTGACAAGCAAAAAAAAAAAAAGGAAAAAGCCAATCCCCCCCCCAAAAAAAGTCCTATTCGGTAGGGGGGAGGGGGGGGGTTAGAACTTCAGTGCCAAATTTTTTTTCCAAACACGACCACTTTCCTCATTTTTAACCTATACTGCAACGTGCCTGTGGAAAGTGGGGGGCTAAACCATTTTCAATGACTAGGTATATATTTGGAAAAAAAGCATGATGAAACCAAAGTTAAGCATGTTCATAGTGATACATCTTATTGGAAGACAAAGACAAACTTCTATTAAATAAAAAAAAAACAATGACTGAATCTGAAATTATATGCTATTAATTAATTCAATCTGCAAATGCCTTATAAAGGAAAGAGGGCGTAAAAGGTGGGCACAATTTAATCTCCCGCTCCGAGACATTATATTTCTCAATTTCGAAAATTCACGGAAAAGTTTTATTTTTCTAAAATTATGTTGTCAGTTATGTCATCTTTAACACGTTTGATTCATTTATTTCATTGAATGACTTAATTGATATTTTGTAAAGTTGACATGCAGAACTTACGCATATTTACCGGAAAAAGGTCATGGGTAGAAATTGTCTTTGTAGAATCTATTTTACGTTTTCAAAAAATGGAGTCCGAAACAATTCAATATAAAAAGCGATTTATGGAAAGATTTTTAATTCAACAACTCGATTTACCTAAAGCACTCTAACATACATTGATGACAAAAAGCCCTCGTAACGTAGTGGTTAACATGTTCAGGTTAAGAGAAAAAACGGGTTCGGTATGATGCCCAACCTTGAGCTTTGGATAGAGTTCGAATCTTGTGAGAATTTTTTTTCACACACCTTAAAACAAACCTAAGTGAAAAATGAAATTATATAATCAGTAAGTTATTTAATAAAATAAAAGAGGGAGATTTGTAAAAGGTGACTCTGACAATGAAATTATTGAAAAACATCTATCATGAATTCTTACACTAAGAGTTGAATTTTTTTTTATCTCAAAGTGGGGATTGTCCTAGCCTTGGATACCATAATATAGTAAATAATTGTGCCCCCATTAAATATTAAACCTTGAATTTGGTGAAAATTAATGTACAGAAAATTAGATATGCACATGCATTTCAGCAAAGTCTAGAAGTAGTACTGTACAAAGTAATAGCATTTTATTTCTCACGTGGCAGCTAGATACGTATATTCCTCTCTCCAATCACCCCCCCCCCCCTCAGAATACTAAACAAAAGATGAAAAAATCAAATGCAATATCTCACGGGAATCAGACTGAGTGAAAAATCTTAGGGAGACTTTAATTTTATATTTGTAAGTTTTCTTTTCAACCACAGTGTTATTTATGAATAACAATCAATCAGTATTTGGGCAGACTGAAACACCCCCATATCCCCCACACCCCAAAAAAGGAAGAAGAAACGGTTTTGTATACAAGTCGTCCGCCTTGTACCGTCGAAGGGGAGGAAGGGGGCTCTGAACTTGACATAGTAATTTTAAGTAAGTGTAAAAGATATATTTAAAGTCCAGTTTTCTGAACTAAGGTGTTTTATGCCTGAATTACTATTGCCAATTTACACTAAAAGATAGATAAATATTGATAAATTGTGGCTTTATCCCCTTAACAATATTGTACGTTTACGTTCTTTATTCCTGCTAGTCCTGGAATTTTTTGTGGGTTCGTGGCTGCAACCCCCAACCCCAATATTTCTTCCTAGGACCTTAATAGCTCTAATAATGCCTGAAAAAAGAGGATTTGCTTTCCTTGAAGAATTAACCCAAAAGCTACATGTACTCAGTATGAGTATTAATTTAAAAAAGAAATAAAATTAATGTGTCTTTGTTTATTTCATAAAACGTTTTATGTCGTTTCTAATATTTAGTGAAAACTTTACTTTCACTTCTCACCTACTGTAGACCATATCTTCCTGATTGTAGTTCGAATAGGCTGATATAGCAATGGATACAAACACGTCCCTCTCGAGTATTTTAACTCATATGGAGACGCCACCACTTGCCGGTGGAGGGCTACAAATTTTGTCCTATGCTCGGCACTCAGGGCCTTTGAGCAGTGAGGGATCTTTTTTGTGCCAGCACCTACTGCGACACGGGGCCTTGGTTTATACGGTCTCATCCGAAGGACCGGTCTCCACGTCCCACAGTTGGATTCGAACCCACGACGTACGGATTGACACCTTACTTCGCGACTCTTGAGCAGACGCTCTAACCACTGTGCCACGCGGTCGACAACATGGTTTAAGGAAAAGCCATGGTTTTAATTGAGGATGAAGATGTAGAATTTTACGTGTTATAATTATACATGTAAGTGTGTATTTCGTGTTGTCCATTTTACTGAGCAATGCCGAACAATAACAATACGTCAATAGCGAATATGACTTTGAATATATTCAGTATTTTTACACAACTTCAAAATTAATGGTTTTTTAAAAGTACTGTAGCTCTTATTCAGTATATTTTAATGTATTCTCTTCTTTTGTTGATACATGATACATACGTTTTATACGCATGACTTCAAAGAAAAGTCCGAAGATATTTGTTTACCTCTAGTGTGGGATCAACTAATTACAGTAAACTGCCCCCCCCCCCCGAAAAAAAAATTAAATAGTGGACCTAGACACCTAATAAAGTGTTAGTGAACAACTAAAAAATCGTAGTATGATACTTTTTTGTGAAAAATGTGTAATATTCTAACAAAATCTATACCCATATTATTTACAAGGGGCAAAAGGGTTAAAACTGAGGAAATTCGGATTTTTGTGGAAATGTTCTTTTTAAGGTATGAGCACACTTCTGCCCCACAAAATTTTTTTCATGAATAGAAACCTTTTGATGTTAGTTTTAAACTGAGCCCTAAATAAATTTGGGGCAGGCCTGTGCTGTATGTAAAATTTGACTATTTAGCCCCCAAAATGTGATAAATCAAGCAAATTCCTGATTTTCTATGATTTTGGGGCTATAGATCTCAGGTATACAAGTATGGAACTCCAAGAATTTTTCCACTTTGATAAACTACAATACCTAGACTACCTTTTAAGCAAAAAATTTTTGGCCAAAACTTCAGTTTAATTTTGACCATTTTACAGGGCATGTTTTGACCCTTCGTGGGCCAAGCTCTTTCTCAAGTTCGGAAAGGGTGGTGGTGGTGGTAAGTGCCTTTAATTGCATGAATTTAACATTTTTGTTAAAGATGTGAAAAAGTAAAATATTTACTTAAAGATATATGAAATCAATCAAAATCTTATTACAATGCTTTCTTGTCTTTTTCTAGACCCCCTCCCAGGTTTGAGATCACACGTACGTACTCACCCGTTTTTGTCAGTTTAAGAGATCCTCTGAGTGAGTTCCCACTTGCAAAATTTTCCAAGAATTTAATCTATCAAACTCAAACTAGATTATAAGAAATATGTCTATAGGATATGAATGCCCTGCCGAAATCTAAAAAAAAATGGATATAGATGATAAATTGTCACCTAATTACGTATAAGTGCATGCTTACATAAAATATCTTAAATAGCTTCTTTTTAACTAGGCAAAATACAAATTAAAGAAAAGGAGGTCAAGGTCACAGGAAAGTGCATGGTCAAAAGTTTTTGATACAGTTGAAAAGCTCCCGACCACTGATAAGTATCAGCATATTATGTTTCAAGTTTAATAAAAATATATTGAATGGTTTATTTAATGCTTAGTTAATCACTGATTTAAGAAAAGAGAGGTCAAGGTCAAAGGAAAGATTAAGAGGTCAAAATAATGTTGATTCAGTCGAAAAGCTTACATAAGTATTTATCGGCATATGACGTGTTATAAAAATATTTAAAACTTAGCTAAACACTAATTACAGAAAAGTGAGGTCAAGATAAAAGGAAAGGTCAATGTCAAAGAATGTTCATGCATTTAAATAGATTACATCATTATGTATCAACATATAAAGTTTGATTATACTATCTTGAACGGTATCTTAAAAACTGAGCTAAACATTCACTTAAGAAAAGTGAGGTCAAGATCAAAGGAAAGGTCAAGGTAAAAAATGTTGACTCATTTGAAAAGCTTACATTATTATGTATCAACATATGAAGGTTGATTATACTTACGTGAATGGTGTCTTAAAAACTGAGTTAAACACTCACTTAAGAAAAGTGAGGTCAAGGTCTAAGGAAAGGTAAAAAATGTTGATGCATTTCAATTGCTTACATCAGTGTGTATCAACATTTGAAGTTTGATCACACTATCTTGAATGGTATCTTTAAAGCTAAGTTAAACACATATTTTAGAAAAGTGAGGCCTAGGTCGAAGGAAAGGTCAAGGTCAAAAGATGTTGATGCAATTGAATAATTTACATGACAAACACTGTATGCCTCGGTCATATTCATGGCGGGGCATAAAAAGCATTAGCTATATCATTAGTCAGCCCCCGGGCTGACTAGTTACGTTAGGATGAAACTTCAAGTGCGCTTGCGTTAATCGGAATTCCGGGAAAAAGATTTGCACAATTTTCTCCAACCAGAGGGCGTGCTATTTCACGCACACTCACGACCTCGATCTATTTATAGACTGCATCAATTGTTCTTCGTCGTTCTCGATGAAAATTAATGACATAGACTGTTCAGCCTTTAGATGTGATATTTGTCAGTTTTTAAATGATACTATGAAAATATTTCAATGCTTTAATATTTTAATAGAAGATTCCCTCAATCGCCACTGCAAGCCGAAGATTTAAATTGTGTATTCCTCTGGATGCCTGATGCAAGACTCCCTCGACCTTGCATAAGACATGTACGGGTCGGAATTCACACAACAATACACTTGCCACAAAGGTCCCAAAATAGTGAAAAAAAGAAAGATCAATTTCTTTTCACTCTAATGATTGAAGATCTGAAAACATCAGAAGACCACTGTAAGACAGTAAATTCTTATGATTTACATGACGATAGACGTATAAGTGCCGCTTGTGCGTGCACGTGAACCGCGCCCACATGTGAGAAATTGACAACAGTGAAAATGCGATAGCTGAGAGAACTGTGCTGATTTATAGACAGGGTCCCCCCCCCCCAATGAAAGGAAAGGGGGGAGATGGATTCCAGCTTTTTAATCTAAAGTTTTGCTATGATGGTAGACATCATCATCAAACTTTTAAGACATTTTGTGTACATGTATATATACGTACTGCATGTATAAACATATTTTGATTTTCCATTTTAAATTGTTTTCCATGGCGTTCATTACTTTTTTTTGGACGCAGTTTTTTTCTTTCCTAATAACACTAAAATGGATGCTCAAACTTAGAAATTGAAAATATACATACAGTATGCCCCCCCCCCCTCCACATCATGCATTGCCTCGAAATGCACAAACGAAAACGGTTATTTAATAATATTTAAAAATAATCTAACACAAAGTCTACCCACTTTTTATTCTTCATAATCTGTATCATTTTTATAGAATTTAACGTGATTTTAGCTGCCATGGTGGCTTTGTATAAGATGAACTTTCTCTGATGTCTATGTATGTGCCGAAGAGAATTTTTGGAGACTATTGTAATGATCACGATGCAAAATAAACAAGTATTTAAACATGATTTTTTCTTTGTTATTTACAAAATTACTCAATGATGTAAAAAAAAATCTTTTTTTTCCAAATTAATTAGCTTTTAATACCTCTAAAGTCCTTTATATCTGTTTCAAGCTTTATAATTATTATGTACAGCACTATATTACAAATAAGAAAACGATTACAAGAATTTTAACTTTTCTTACAATGGCATTTATTACATTTATATAAGGAACACAACATGATGGATAGATCAAATCATAAACCATTACAAAACAAGAAACAAATTTTCTGTATTCCAGTGGCTGACACTCAGCTTTTTTTAAAAAGCTAACCTTGTATTCTATTGTATTTACATGAACATACTTTCCAGCATGCTATGGACATTTTTGCTTGCATTAGCCTACTCCGCTCTTTTTTTAAACTCTTCGGCGAAGAAGGCAAAAAACACTATAGGCATGTAAACAAAACTTACATCCCGTCGATTGATCGAAGGGTTGCAGAAAAAGAAATGGCAAACATATTTGCCAGCGTTTGGGTTGAGATATCACCACTCTGCATTTCAAACTTTGTAAATACTGAAATTAATTTGGCCAAAATATGCAAAATCACCGGTACAAAGATTGTCAACATGTTTGACAAGACAACAGTCCAGGGACAATGGCACCAGATTCTGATGCTACACAGACTACTGGCGAAAAACCGGATCAAGAAAGCCGTTAGAAAGGAAACGTTGTCCAAAGCATTGCTACAGAAATACAGGCTACAAAGAAAGACTCGAAATCTGATAACTCTCAAAGAACATGGCAAAACAAAGGATGTGACAAACAGAGATGGAGCTTCCTTCGAGTCGAAACCAGAGAAAGATAGGAGTTTGGAGGAGTGTGTAGCGTTTTCAAATGAAAATGATACTTTTAGCAAGGAATCCTGTGAAGATCAAACAAACGAAGCTTCAGTTTTGAACTTTCAACATGTTAATGCAAGAGATGCGAAGATTCCATCAGACAACAATGATATACAGGATCCCCAAAACACACTTGAAGGTGTAGATAGTGTCAGTGGTGTTAATGACGTCACAGTAGAAGGTGTAGATAGTGTCAGTGGTGGTAATGACGTCACACTAGAAGGTGTAGATAGCGTCAGTGGTGGTAATGACGTCACACTAGAAGGTGTAGATAGCGTCAGTGGTGGTAATGACGTCACACTAGAAGGTGTAGATAGCGTCAGTGGTGGTAATGATGTCACACTTGGAGGTGTAGATAGCGTCAGTGGTGGTAATGACGTCACACTTGGAGGTGTAGATAGCGTCAGTGGTGGTAATGACGTCACACTTGGAGGTGTAGATAGCGTCAGTGGTGGTAATGACATCACACTTGGAGGTGTAGATAGCGTCAGTGGTGGTAATGACGTCACAGTGGAAGGTGTAGATAGCGTCAGTGGTGGTTTTGACGACACACTTGAAGGTGTAGATAGCGTCAGTGGTGGTAATGATGCAGTGGACATCACTTTGTCAACAGAAGCAAAGATAACAAAACAATTGCAGAAACAAAAGACTCCGGTTAACTTTAAATGTTCCGTATGCGACTTTAAAAGTAATCATAAGAATTCTGTCAGGGATCATGAATTACGAGTTCACTTTGCTTTACCAGAAAAATGTAAACTTTGTGAAAAAGTATTTTCTAGCCATCAACACTTAGGGAGACACATGCTTTCTCACAAAAACTCACAGTTTATTTGTGATGTCTGTGGGAAAATATACAAGTCTGCAAGAACTTTGGAGAAGCATAAAAAATCACACAACATTGATTATAAAATACCACAACTTGAATGCATACACTGTAAAAAATCATTTTCTTCAAAGGCAGTGTTGCAAAATCACATAGAAACTCAACATGCAGGGAAAAAATCTTCCTTTCTATGCTCCACGTGTGGAAAGGTATTCACTCGAAAATATTCTTTACAGCAACACCAAATTGTTCACTCGGGATCCAGACTTTATTGTGATGTTTGTCAGAAATCGTTTTCTAGTGAATCATCCCTCAGGGACCACAGAAATATTCACACGGATCTAAAATCGTACAAGTGTCAAATTTGTTCAAAAACATTCAACCAAAGAACAACATTACAAAAACATTCAAAGATTCATTCAGTAGACAAATCATTTAAATGTGTGGAGTGTGGCAGAGGTTTTACCCAGAAACAGGCTCTCCAGAGACATGAACGATTTCACAAGGGACTTAAGCCATTTACCTGTAAAATTTGCCAAAAATCTTATGGTGATGCAGCAATCATAAGAAAGCACCTGATTGTTGTTCATAAAATCCATAAAGATGCCATGCATTGGAAAGAAGATATAGTGCAAAACGAGTATGACAATTCATTTGATACTGAGTATAATACATGTAATACAAGTCACACAGAGAGAAATGAAACACAAATTCCAACATATGGATCTTATGAGGGCAATGAAATGATTCCTACAGAGAATTTAAATGAAATGCAGATTTCGCTGACTGCTGAACACAATGCTAAATCTGTCCCAGCTCATCCTGAAGATTTATCAATGTCCTCCCAGGAAGTTCACCAAATCCAGAGTCAAATGCATCAGCTACCAATGTCTATGTACTCCCAAACTCTCTACAGTGAACATGTGGATCCAACAGGAGTGGATCCTAGTGTTTATCCATCTCAACATGACCTAAACTCAGTATCCACATATCCTTATCTCTCATCTGCCCAGGGACAGCCTGACCAGAATCTGGAAAATAACCACAATTCCACAAACCCGTACCTAGCATCCACACAGCCAACATCAGCAGACAACATGGAGGAAAATCCAGCATCCTCCCACCCCTACCTCCCCACCCAGCCCCACCCCCCACCACACGAGGAAGACCACTCATCCTCCCACCCGTACCTCCCCACCCAGCCACACCCCCCACCACACGAGGAGGACCACTCATCCTCCCACCAGTATAACGACTCCATTCTGGACATGAGTGGCACACAGAGACCAGAGGGACTAACACCGAAACGTCTACCTGATACAGACGCTGCTGAAAATTTGTCCTTATCTACACTTTATGCCTATTACTCAAGCTTAGCTTCACAATATCTGAATATGTCGGGGTACCCTGGGTATACCCAGCCACCAGAGGAACAACAACAGCCTCAACAAAATGTGTAAAATATCGGATAAAGACCAGCAGTCTCAACAAAACATGTAAAATATCGGATAAAGACCAGCAGTCTCAACAAAACATGTAAAATATTGGATAAAGACCAGCAGCCTCAACAAAACGTGTAAAATATCGGACATACAGCAGCATCCACAACAAAACATGTAAAATATCGGAAAAACAGCAGCATCCTCAACAAAACGTGTAAAATATTGGACAAACAGCAGCAGCCTTAACAAGACGTGTAAAATATCGGATAAAGACCAGTAGCATCCACAACAAAACGTGTAAAATAACAGACATTTCACAGCATTTTGACATAAGATTCATTTTTAGGTGTATTAGTAGTTGAATTATACTAATATACATCACTCATTGTGAATTGTTCATGTAGAAAACAGAATAAAAGATAAAAGTAAGCTGTTTTAATTATCAGTTTATTAAGGAGTCTTTAGATGACTTTGAGGCAGTGTTTACAGCAGGATCAGTAAAGGGGAATAACTGTTCTGAGAAAATAAGTTAGATTAGCAAAGATACAAATCAAATGGTGACTGCTTACAATCCTTATACAACATAATTCATCAGTAGCTAAACTGGCTTTGGATAAATGAATGTTTTACAGTTAATGATTTTTTAATCCATGTTTTTATACATGAATCATTTAGTGAGAGATCTCATCTGTATGTGTATCTCTAACTTGGAATTGTAGAGAATGTCAGATGCTTTGGCTTACTTTATATATAGGGTGACCGTGCATAGGATTTTTTTTTTTACTTCTTCACAATTCCACTCAATTCAATCCTTTAATTCTTTGATAGATATAATGCTGTTTCTCTGAATATGCATCATATTTCATCCACTTTCAATAAGGAGGAAAGTGACTGCAGAACTGTAAATTTTGACAATGATGAAAGCCGAGAGCTACAGATTGAAGCGTAAAAATCTTCGTTTTATGCTGCCGCTTTTTTGTTCTTTACTTTGGGTATTAGTTCTTGTATTTTATGCTCTCCTTGGCTTTAAAATTGGTATCCTATAATTAACCATACTTTTAACTCCTATTCCTGAGATTTTATTTCCCTTTCAACCATTCCAAAAGGCTGTTTGTTGAAACAGGCATCAAAATGGAAATCTTTTCAACAGACATTCAACACCCATAAAAGATTGTTTCAGACTATTGAAAGGTAAACATAGTAAATAAACTACATACAAGTATATCAATAATAGGAGTAAAATATACAACAAATTATCAGATACCATTCTAAAAGTGGAGAAATCATAATCTACAAAAAATAACACTTGAAGTGAGTAATAAAAAGGTGGCGGCTTAAATTGTAGGGTTTTAAACACAATGCTTGGATCTATAGCTCTCTGCTTTATTTGTCCAAATTTTCACAAGCAGAGAGCTACATTTCTGCAGCTAGGATGAAAGGAATAAAATAAAATGGGTATAAAAATTAACCCATATAAATGTTAATCTGGTAAGTGTAAAATAGGATAGTTACAATATTATCTATTACATAGAGTGTTGAAATATATAAATATCATTTTTATTGCACATATTGATACTAAGCACACATCAATCACTGACTGAAAGGAATCTTGCATACCAGTACTTGTACTAACAAAAACAAGAAAAAAACAAAAACACACATCCTATCAACTCTGAAAAGAGAAAAAAAAGCATTAAAAACATGCATATGTCACACTGATGTTGACCTCCTCAAGTAATAAATTCAAATTTATCCAAAGGTACTGACCATTTGGGGGAAAAAAATGAATGTTTTAACATGTAATGCTAGAACATAAATCTTAGCTGTAAATTTAATATGATGGCAAATGACTTTTTTGACTAATTTTTTAAATTCAATTGCTGCATGATTACAATATAATTGTACAGAGTGGTAAAACATTTTGATAAATACACAATGACACTGTAAATCATGAAATGAACCATTGATATACAAGTAGAAAATTCTTCAAAGATTGGCTGGCTCAGTTTTATCTTCAGTTGTACAGTCTTTCTGTGTCTTTTCCTCACTCTTGTTCTCTGTGCCTGATTCTTTCAGCCTCATATTTCCTTCAGAACCACTACCCACTGTTTCAGCTAATTCTTTCTCACCAGGGCTCACTTCAGAGCTGTCTGTCTCTGCCGCATTATTGTCAGAGTTCTGTGAGGTTGCGTTAAATTCTGTTTTATCAGCTTCCTGTGTAACTTGAGTTTCCTCTTCATCCACAAATATGATGTCTTCTGGGTTTGGAGGTCGAGGAAGAAAGTCCTCTCCAGGCATCGCTTCTTCAAATATCCCCCTTGCCTACGTAAAAAAAATTAATAAATTGTTTACAGTGAAGTATATCATTTTTTCTTTTTTTTCCCCACTTAACTCTGGTTTTAACAATGACACATATAATATATGATTATGACATCATGAAGAAAAGAACTCATAATTATTTAGTTAATGTTAGAATGTTTATTACATTATCCTTGCATGATTTTGTAGAAAATAAACCTACGATGTTGACGGCCTGGTCAATGTCTATTTCTGGCCCCGGACCTGGTACCACCCTCACATTACTCGGTGTACCACTACACTGATCTCCAGTGTTTATCTTCTGTTGATAATACAATGACCAAATTATCCGAGGTTTGTCATCTTCTGTAATTAAACAGTATCATCAGAATTTACTTATACTGTAGAATGCCAAGTTTTCTTATCACCTAATTTTTTTGAGATAAAAATTTAGTATTAAGGTAGTCCGATCCTCAGGTTTATAAAATCATCAGTTAAGGCCAGGTAAAATTAATCAAATCCTAATTTGCTAAAAAAGATTTTATTTTTTATTTTTTATAATTGTTAATTTATATATAGGCCAAAGTATCAACAAAACAATGGACGCCCCATAAACATTTTTTTCATAATGTTAATGCCAATATGAATATATTTTATTCTTTTCATATTCTTTTGAATATTTAAAAAAAGATTCTTGCTTTATAAAATCAAATATTTATTGTTAATTAACAAATTATCAAGTACACATTATACGGCACACCCTGAACAAAATGCATTTTCAATAAATTGTGCAAATTGACTTCTTATTTTGCAAAATCTATATAAATGTTCTAATAATTATTCTACTGAAAAATCTAGGCCTTCTCTTAAGTCTGTCTACGATGTTGTAGATTTTTTTTTATATTTCAAAGCAAAGGCACAGCTGGAGATCGTTATATATAACTTGACCAGGTATCATTTTCCTCGTCTAGTTTTACTTAGTTACAGTCTCTCTACATACTTGCTCCTGCCAGTGATGGTATCTATATGTGTTTAATATGCTATTTTTTCTTCTCTGCCTTCTCTATACTGACAAATCATCTTTTCCTTACACATTTAAACTGCTTTTATTGCTGATTTTTCTCCATTCTTCCTATGGCGTTTTTGCTATAAAATAGCGACACGCGACTTTTAATACAGACGGGAGATAACTCTTAACCTTTAACCCAAATTCTTACTGAATAAAAATACATGAAAATACCCAAAAATCAAAATAAAAGACATCGGGGCGGGACATTTTGAGAGGGGCGGGCGGGGATGAGAATCTAAAGATTAATTTTATATGGCCTAAGTAATCAAAAATACTCATAAAAGTATTTCTGAATCCAAAAAGTTATGCAAATTTATCCACAGTATTTCTTTAAAGTTAAAGATTAAAGTTAATCATATTATATAAGGAAAATTGTCAAATCTCCAATATTTTTGCAGAAAAAGTGAATTGGCACATCAGCAATGCATTTTCTAATTGCAAATTGATCAACAAATATATTTTAGTTCAAAAAACAACAGGTATCCAGGCATTCAGAGAAACTGTCATGATTCATCAGGTTATACCAAGAAAACAAGAAAACTTGGCAGTCTTTAGTCACCTAATTTCTTTGAGTTAATAATTTAGTATTTATAAGTGAAACAGAGCATCTCATTTAAGTAAAATAAATTAAAGTTCTAAATGTAAATTATAAATTACAGTATACTGAAAGTGTCCAAGATCACATGTAACAGGAAATATACAAGTTTGACATTATAAATGATGCATAACCTGAGGAATCTTCCTGGAAGAGCTTTGTGACATCAGCTTGAAGACTCTCCTCTGGTGATTTCTTATCATCCTCAGACTCCTTTGTCAAGTGAACTACATCTGAAAAATATACACGAACATAAGATTAAACATCTTATATGGATACCCAGGCTAAATCAATAAAATGTAGACAAGTTAGAACTGAAAAAAAACTTATCCACCCTCTATAGAACTATTCTGATAGCATTACTGTTTACTGAAATACATACATAGTCCCTCTGGACAAGCCATGGCTGATGCAGGTAACTCCAGAATGGTGGTGGGATGTTCTCCAACTTTTTCTGGAACCCGCAACAAGGACAACTACAGAAGACAGAATAGATCAGTGATTTAAAGCATGCAGTCACAGAAGGAAAGGGAAGGCAGTTCAATAGCTCAGTGATTCTAAGCATGGAAGGAAAGCCTTCGTGCAGGTTAATTAATTGACATTAATTTTATTTATTTATTTTAATAAAATGGGGTTAACAGAGCAAGAAATTAAAAGTAAAAGTTTTAATATTTACCTGATGTTGATCATCTGCAGGCATCATAGTCTTGTCAGTGACCAAAATGCCCCGATTTACAAATCTGAAAAAAAGAAACCATTTACATTGGACACATTCTAAAATTCATTTTCCATCTGTATATGCTATTTTCAATCACCAGAACAAATAAATCTTTTTTTCCCTGCCAGATAAGGATTTGATATTATCACCTGTAGCAAAGACTTACCTGTTTGAGACACTGTCAATGAATGAGTCTGGAGCATACGAGTTCTCCATCACTAGGCGCCTTAAAAACAGAAATCATTATAATCAAAACAGATCATACAAACAATATCACGTTTACTCCTGTCAACAGTAGATACATGTATACATGTAGTTTGTGTGAATTTAATATTGTCACATATATAAAACTGTGTATAAAAGCATATGAAGCTAGGTCTACAGCATGCAATGAAAACATATTCTCGTATGGTCAAATTTTAGATGGTTGAGGAAAAATTGTTAGTTTGTGGGGATTTGATTTCAAGGTTGGAAAATGTTTAGTAGTAAAGCATAATTATGAAATTTTACATTTCATGGTTGTCATGAATTTGTGGGTCTCTCCATAACTCGAAAACAAAAAAAATACCCACCCACCACAAAAATGATTGATTTTGCAGTATTAGAATTTGATCAAATGCTTTTTGTAATATTTTCTCTGACTGAGACACTGTAAAACTTACTTGCATCTGATGTGTTTCCCTGTAGTCATGACGACACCAGTACAACTGAAATTGAATATAAATACTGTTATGCTTTGACTCTTAGAAATTATAAATATATACAAATGCAAAATACATTATGTTTATTTTTTTATTAATAAGTATAGAACTTGGCAGCAATCTTTGTCTTTAGTGAAATTGGTATTTATAACTGAGAATAACTGAGAATAAAAGAGCGTATACTCTTCTCATTCAATGACATGATATTTTTATAAAATGTGAAGACAAACTGTATGTACAAGTTATCAGTGTTGATGACGACGGAGGCAGCTGGGGTCCGCAGACAATATACACCTCCAAACACAGCACACATCCTGTCAAAATCAGGGAAAGGGGTACAGTTAACGGGGACAGTCAAATCCACTCTAGTGTAAGTAAGTAATCCAGGCTATCCACTTTCATTAAATAGCAATTCTTTGTAAAATACAACTTCTTTATTTACAAGTTTTAACAATATATGAGTATGCTGTTTCAAACATGTTTTTACGTATATAAAATGGAACCATACATCTGAGAGGTGAATTCATGTAAAATAATCTTAACAACAAAGTGTATAATTCAATTGATCTGCTCACCTACAAAAACTCTGGGGCATCTCACCACTTCCATACATTGGCCACAGAAATGCTGTATTCCCATAGCGACCAAGAGAATGTAAAAATTTCTGCGTCCTTTTCAGACCCTAATGGGAAAAGTGAATTTAATGAATGTAATATGTTAAGTCAACATTAATACTAGACATTACTGTTTTATTTCAAGTCACCATAGATACATGAGATTATAGCAGTAAAACAGCATTTAGGAAGTCAGTTTTGTACTCTTCAGCAATATTCAATTTTTTTTTAATATTTCACTTTTCACTTCAATTATCAGTTCGTATACAGGTAATTTTTTACAGTTAAAAGTCAATTCATCTGACCATATATGTTATTCTCAAGTATACCAGTAAAGTTATCAAACAGTATTTGATACTTTGACAGTTTCTCTTACCTCAGGAGTAAGTGTTGAGTTACTTGTCATTGATATGGCATGCTGAATGAAATGGATCACATTCTTTGAAAGTTTTTGGTGTTCTAGATATTCCTTGAATGGTTTCTCAATGAAATCTGCATGGTAAAAATTGTATTAAAAAACATTTTGAATCCAAAAACTGGTTTTTGAAAAGTTTTACAAAACCTCACGTTTCCAGATTGTAAAACATTTGTCATTTATTAAATGATAATTATCAAGTATGTCAAATTTCTACATCACTTGACCTAAACTTTCAGTTTAAAGAGGAACTAGAAAACTTGAATACCAGGTAATGCTGTATATAAATTTTAAATACTACAGAAAGTTTCAAAAAAGATTTCATAGGTAAAAATGTCACTAGGGAGACTGTACCTCTATACTCCTCCTGATGTTTTTCGTGGTCCACACAGAAAGTCAGGAACTTCATCATCATTCTCTTCTCTATCATCGATACGTCCTTACTGCTGAAAACATCAGCTCGAGAGCACGGTACCTGGTGATATAGGACAAAATATAATAATCACTTCTCAGCAAAACCTCATCTAATAAATGAATTAGATTTCTTTTCTTTTAAACCCTGGTTGCATGTGCATGTAGATTAATCTTTGAATCAATAGAAAGGCATTCTGCTTAATCAAACTCAATTAGATTTTCAAGCTTACTGATATTAATTGCTTCAAGACATTAAAAAATCTATAATATACCTTTCTTAATTTTCCATCAATCAATGTGAGAATCCTGGAAACTGTTTTAAACTCACAGTACTTGGCAATGTCTGATGTAATGAGTAACTCAACCATACTCCCCCCACAATACAGGAGCTAAAATACGAATACACATACATGTATATAAATATACTTCTAACAGCAAATAGATAAAACATGAAGGAAATATGAAGGAGAAAACACAACCTGAAAGTGAATTGTGAACTCTGCATATCTACTACAAAACATGGTCTCTATATGACAAGGTGAACCCTAACCTTGGGTGACAAATCTAGATTAAATTTTCTCCACTCCTTTCTTAATCTTGATTCTGTCCACAGCAAGGGTTGTTGATTGGACACATTTGTCAGGTTCTTGTTCTCTGAGTCTGTATTTGAAGTCGAAGCTAATTCTTTGTCTGTCTCTTCCTCTGGAATTTGACTGTCAAGTTTTTCTGTTTCAATATTTGAAGTAGAAGTTAATTCCTTGCTTGTCTCTCCCTCCTGAATGTGACTGTCCTGTTTTTCTTCTGTACTATGGCTGATCTGAAGGAGACCTTTTCCTTCCTCTGGGAGATTTCCTTTATCTATCGTTTCCTTACTGGCTTCTTCAGTAGATTCAGTAACTACTGCTGTCATCATATCACCTGAGTCACATGGTGCCATAATGGCTGTGGCTACCACATCACTATTACCAGGGTCTGAATCTGGTAGTACCACTTGACTAGAATTACTCTGATCACTGTAATTTGTTTTGTCCTCATTATCTTCATCTGAGAGGATCACATCTTCTTGCAATTTATCAGCAATATCTTCATCTGGTTCTTTCTTGGGTTCAGTTTCTTGTTTTGGGTCACTAAAAATAACAGTTTTATTTAAGTCCATCTCAAATGATTTTTTCAGAACTTTCAGTCGCTCATACAAATCTGCATAATTTTTTCTGTTTGGAAAATTACATTCTATTTATACGTATATGTTGTTCACATGCATCTATACAAAACTAGAAATAACTTTGTTTATATTGTTCATGAGTACTTCATTATTGAATTGAAACAACTTTAAAAAATAACCAATTCAAGAATAAAAATGAAAATAAAATAATTTAATAGTTACATGTTTCTATCTGTTTTTTTTTTTTTTTAAAAAGGGGTTCTGACTTGAAGATACACTGTATAGCTTAAGTGATATACCTAATATGAAACTGAAGTTTGTGTTTACTGTAGCTGTTGTCTGTTAAATGCAGATTTATCAACTGTCCCTCAACCTTAACATCTGGAAGACCAGTTCTGTCTTCAGGGGTCTGAGCAGTCTACAATAAATACAAACATGTAATAATTCATCATTTATTATTTGTTAATGCACCTGTACAGAATATAGAATATGTACCAACATCGAGAAAAGATTCAAAAACAGGGTAAAAAAAATCATTTAAGTGATTCTTCGAAATTTCTTATTAATCATAATAAAAATTTTCTACCTGAACCCATTCTTCGATTGACTTCAGGCTGAATGATGCCCATTGCCCACTGTAGTATGGGTTTCTAGAATTATCAGAGTAGGTATTTAAATAATGAACATCAAATCACTGTAAAAGGACAGATCTAGAAATAAGCATTTCATTACAAAGTAATTAACTTTAAATAATATATTTCAAATAATAATGCAATTAAATTATTTTCGCATAAAATGCAAAATCTAACATCTGTATAACAAGAATTATAATCATCCAAGAGCTCATCAATCTGTTGACCTATCAGTAAACTAAAAGAACCTTGTGTATTGCTTTATTACTGAACCAGCAATGAAGGTCATCCACAACTTTCAAGTGGCATATGTTATACTGTAATGTCTAAAACAATGTTGTATGCTTTTGAACGGACCAAATGGTTTTATTAAATGTGTAAAAAGGACTTAGGTCACATCATGTTTGTTATTCCTAGTTACTTAAACTTTTTTAATAGTAACTCAAACAGTACAATATAAAATACTGCTTAAACATTTCAGGAATGGTTATCAAACTTTAACTTTTTCCCAAATGGCTCTCTACATGCATTCAACTGTGAAAATATAACCATATTTTAAAAAACTTTATCAGGTGCCATGCAGCTATTTCAACAATAGGCTTAGTCAATAGATTGTTTTACAACAATTAAAAGGAATATTTTATTGTGGAAACAGTGGAAGAATATGTTAGTTACAAACACTGAGTAATATTTTGAGATGAAAGTTTTAAATAAATGGAGAAATTATTTGAGAAACAGCACACTTTTTTGTGTGCAATTTTTCTATGGATGGCACTGTAGCTCTCTGGTCTGTCAATTTATATATTTTTTGGGAGAGTTACAGTTCTACAGCTATGGTATCATGCAGCTTTTCATTAAATACGTTTCTTTTTAAATTTTGGAAACCTTTTTGCATTCGCAAAATGTAAAAAGTCAGAGATTATACACTAAAAGGACTTTCTGGCAAAAATTATAAAAAGACATTAGTCAACATTGATGACATGGCTTTTACTTGAATATGAACAATAATCATTGGTTGTTAACATCATCAGAATTCACTCAAAATAATGTAATCAACTATTAAATCGTAAAAGACCAAATACGATGTAAAGAAGGCATAATATACAGTATACCTGTCCCAATAACTATGACATCAAATTCGTCTGGCAAATCCTCTGCCATGATGATTTGTTTACTCCTATTTCTGGTCGTAGTTTCGTAAATATTAATACTCCGATTACTCTTCCCTAACAAATTAAATCTAAGTTCAGTTTTATAGTCTATAATATAAAATATATATTTTTTATGAATTTGTGTCAATTATGAAATCTACAGCTTAAAAATATTCTTTCACATAAGATACGAAACCGTGCAAAATATGAAAGTTCAAGGACACGCCCCCTTCGGTTAATGTGAAAGTAGAACTAATGATTTAAAAAATGTTGAATTGAGTCAAAGAAATGATTTTAAAATGTTGGACAGTTTTAAATGATCAATTACTTAGAAAAAATTATTCGAAGTAAAGATTTATCCGAATATATTATAATAATTTTGGTAAAAAAAGTTTGATCAGGTGCCATAGAGGTGTAAACATTCCATGTCAACCGGTCATACAGATATGTGTTTCTTTTCATGATCCTAGGTTATTCGATCTACCTGTTCTGCTGTTTTGAATATTTATGCCCTATATGTGGTTCGCCCAATTATACTTATATATATTTGTATATATAAACTCTTTATGAATTAAAAAACTAAATATATCATTTTTTCTATTTATTTCCTTTACGAACTTGGTATATTTTTTTCTCAAATTCTGATACGAGGAACAATGTTTATTGATAGTCTTAATTAATTTTTGATTTGATTCCAATGTTTTTTGATTGACATAGTGTTTGCACTATAGTTAATTAGATGATTAATTAATATCAATTTTAATAAGGGGGTACATCCGTGTTATTTTTACGAATTGCGCTAACGTTATATATTTTGAAAACAATTAGGACTGAAACGTTAATAGGTCCATTATAGAACTGAACAGTGGATGTTGAAGGTTTTATGAGATGTACCAAAAATTGGAAAGAAAGACATTTTAATCTCCATTAAATTACAAATCAGCAATGATCAACAAAATCGGGCGAACGGGATATCGGGTGAACATTTTTTAGGGCGAACGAACATGGAACCCGATGAAAATTAGTAGACAAAGCAGTGTGAACATTATGGGCACGCAATTTGCAAAATTCAAGAACATTGAATTTTGACAAAGCATGACATTTTTCCATCCATGGATTCTTAAAAGAAATTATTTCATATGAAATGAAAGCACAAAATCTGTTATTTATTTTGATATATGAAATGGGACAGAGATGCATAGCCAGTAAATTGATATAAGGACAGGGCCGTTTTATACATAAAGTGAACCACAGAACAGGTAACACAGTAAAGGGTTTGACGGCTAGGTCTTGTGTTGTATGGGAAGTAAGCTGATACAGCTGGATTACTAGGTTTTAATTAAGATCATTGTGTAAACCTGTATATATGTAGCATTTTAAAGGCAACACAGTATTATTATTTATTACCATGATTACATAAAACATGAAATTAATAATATTTAAAACAATTTTTTCAGGTATGTCTGAACTTGGAAAAGCTGATTTTGGATTGACAACATTTTTTGCACGTAGTCACCCAAATGATAAGTGTGGAGCCAATGGACTGCCCTTGACACCAAATTCTATAAAGATTTTGGGAAGATTTGAGCACTTGAAAACCATTAGTCATGAAAATGTTTGCAAATACCTAGACATTCAAAGAGGCAAACATGGTCAGTGATAGAAATACATAATTTAAACCTATTTAAACCTTTCCATTATCAATACTTGTAGATGTAAGCACTTATTCTTATGGCATAAATTAATAAAATATGAACATTTGTTCGTATTCTCTTTCCCTTTTTAATGTACCATATGTACCATATAACACTTTCCTATTTTAGTTTCTAGTATATGCTCTTAATTGGATTTTTTTTATCTCAATGTATAGGTGCAAACATTGAATCTTGCTTCAGCAGAGTACAGTAGAAATCAGCTGATCAGAGAGGAATCTATAAAATCATGATAGGATGAATTTTGATTAAGATTTTTTTTTATTTTTGTAGAACGGTTATTGGTTGTCACAGAACATTACCAGAAATCTCTAAAGAATGTTGCAAAGTCAGGCAAATATTCAAGGTAAGATTGCAATAACAGTTCCTCTGGTATTTAAATTTTATGAATCATTTTGATAACCTGATTCTTGAACAGTCCCACCAGCATTAAGCAATGCCCTGGCCTAGTGGCTAACTTTTCAAAGCTGATTGCTTGAAGGGCAGAGTTAAATCAAAGAAGCACAGAAACACAAAATATGAACATGTACATTATACTTTTATAAAAGGATGATAGTTTGTATGATTCAAAAAGAAACTTCACACCTACAGACATATGGGATCCATGTACCATTAGCATTGGTCCCTGTTGACATTACCTGGCTTACATTAATGACTAAATATACTTCCTTTTTGGTAGGAGAATGTCATATTCAAAAAATTTTATTCAAAATTAGTCTGTTGACAGCCCTGCTTTTCTTTGATTTTAATATGGTTTCCTGTAAAACTCACATTCCTCACCCCACCCCATGCCCCAATTTCTGCAATGTAACAATGTTTTTATATCTGTTGTCTTATACATGGAAGAATTTTTAAGCATACTACATTTTGTTTCAGTGAGGAGAATTTAGTGCAGTTAGCTTATGGGATTGTCAAGGGACTGACCTATCTGAATAAACACAGAATCACACACAGAAATCTGTCTCAGGAGAATATCTTATTCAGTGCCAAGGTATGTACTTATTGTAGTATACATTTACCAAATTTTAAAATTGACTTTTTAAAAATTTTATGAAGTGTCTCAATGTAAAACTTTACTGCTTTATACTTTGATACTTGAGTGTTTGATAATTTTTACTGATCCACATGTATTGAATGATTATTTTTGGAATTTTATATGCCTATTTTAAATCCTGAAATTATTGACTTGATACCTTTCTGACTTTGTATGTCAGTTGCAAAAAATAATCAGTAAATGTTTCTATTAAAACATTTACAGCTTTTAAAAATGTCTAAAAAGTGTTTATTTCTTGAATCAAACTTTCATCACATGACGTCAGTGTAATGTCATTTTGTATATCATTAACACTGAGGTACAAGTTGTTTGTATGAAAGGAGAACCATTGATTGCTGTTTACTGAAATGAGCAGTGTTTTGCTATAGGGCCAGATAAAGTTGTCAGAGTATGGCTTGTACTACATGACAGATTATGGGGCAGACGTAGCATTTCCTATAGGGTGAGTACCTCATTGATTTGTGAGATAAATGTATAATTTTTTTTTTTTAATGCAACAAGTGTGATTTCTTACTTGACCTTTTCAATAAGTTGGCACAAGAATGCTGAAAAAAAATTATATACTGTAAAAGCACAAATATTCGTGGGGGATTAAATTTCTTTTATTTCGTTGTTAACAATTATCAATGAAATTAAATCCCACACGAAATTTTATATGACTATATATTGAATAGTGTTACTTTCAAAACAATGAAATTAAATGCCCACGAAACTATTTTTGGTGACAAATCAACAAAATTTTATCCCCACGAAAATTTGAGCTTCTACAGTAAGTTTAACTTCATATAAGGTCAAACAGCTGTATGAAGTTAATTTATAATTAGGGGGATGTTAAGCTTATACACTGTAGTATGATTTTTGTCTTCCTATGGTTGACCTTTAGACACCACCAGTACCTGTCCCCTGAGGTGCTGTGTGAGTTCCCTATTCAGTATGATGAACACTCTGAGTCTGAGCCCACTGTACTCACCCCCTCAGGTCCAAAGTCAGATGTCTGGTCTCTAGGCTTAATTCTGTTGGAGGTCTTCACAGTGAGTATCAATAAAGAAAAATAATTAATATTTTATCAGAGCTATTTTTTAAAGATACCATCAATACTCCAGATATGAACTCATACTATTTCTTTCAACTATTACAGGGAGAAGAATTTTGGGGAGATCTTACCTTGCCACAGACATTTTTCAAAATTTTAAGCTTTGTCAACTCAGGTTAGCAATATTTAACACATAAAATTTAAACTTAATTAACTCTGTATATTTTAAATGTGCCTGTGTATGTGTGTGTTTCATAATCTAATTAAGATCTTTGATCCACTGTTACTACCGTAGATTCATAGCTACATTTATGTAGTGATCTAATTAGAGTGGATCAAAGATCTAATTTTAATTAGATTATGTGTTTCAACTCCATTGTTGCACTTCATTTTTATAAAAATTTAAAAATATGTGCGTGTTTCATAAATTTTAAAAAGAACTTTTCATTTAATTTATGTTTAAAAGTTATTTTATTTTCTTCCCACAGAGATTCACCCCTTAGACACAATTTGCAAAGACCTGAATGTGGAAAAACATATCAAGGTAAAATTTATCTGAAGTTTGATTTTAAAATGCCATTCTCAAAACTTTACCGGTACTTACCAAAGTCAGTTCATAGCAGAAAAATTGGGCTTGAGTCACCACTTTACACATATTGCACAGATTTTTGTTTTGTTATTTATAAATTCAAGTGTATTGTATTTTTATTTGTGTAAATTACTATCAAAGGGGGCATAATCTAATAAAAACATCATTATTTTGTTTATGTTGATTACTGACTCCATCAAAAATTCTGCTTTTGAGGAAAAAACAGGTGAAGTGTCTGTTTTAAATTTTTGCTCTGTAAAAATTAAAAATTCATTCTGGAAATTTAATTCACTCCCTCTCTCTTATTTTAGAAAAAAATATGGACTAAAATATGCTTAAATGACACAAAGTAAGAAAAGGTTTTAATAATGGAAATTATTTGAAATGAGATAGTTATGGGAGAATGATTCTTGTTTTTTTATTGTAGTCCCTTTCCCGAGATTTCATTGACTTTCTGAGACAATGTTTAGCTGCTTCACCAGCAGACAGGTAATTATTGTGTTGCAGTAGTCATTCTGTCAATCATGACTTATTACTTTAGTCATTATTTCTAGAATGACTGTATTACAATAGTCATTCTGTCTATCATGACTATTACATCAGTCATTCTGTCTAATATGACTGTAGTAGTCATTCTGTCTATCATGGTTGTATTACAGTGGTCATTCTGTCTATAATAATTTTTACATTAGTCATTCTTACTATCATGACTGTATTTCATTAGTCATTCTGTCTACCATGACTATATTACATTAGTCATTGTGTCTATCATGACTATTACATTTGTCATTCTGTGTACCATAACTATATCACATTAGTCATTCTGTCTATCATGACTGTAATACATTAGTCATTCTGTCTATCATGGCTATTACATTAGTCATTCTGTCTATCATGACTGATTACAGTAGTCATTCTGTCTAACATGACTTTCTGTCATGACTGTATTACAGTTAAGTTTTTCTGTCTATTATTTAAACAATAAAACACTTTCTTTGTTTGTTATTACTGGAATGAACGGAAGCAGCTGTTGCAGAAAAAATACATAACCCGCGTAAGCGGGTTATGTAAATTTTTTCTGCAATAGGCGACCGTTCATTACCAGAATAATAACAAACAAGAACCAAGAAAGACATTTTATTGTTTATATTTATATCTGTTTAAATAATCAAAGTAGGATTAAAAAGATTAATTATTGTATTAATGATGCGAACGTCTTTATACGTTTCATTGATGGAACAGCCACTGATTAAGAAATCTGTACAGGTGACATGCCTACTGTAGTTTATGCAGTGATGAATGCAATGGGGTTTCTTTAGAAATAAAGGAGAAAATATTCAGTAGATGTAAATATTAGAGTAATCATTATCAGTATTTGTTCTTTTAATAGTTATCTGTGTTTATACTTAACTTAATTAATCTACCATAATTTCATTTGTTGTGCTTATATATATTTGATATTGTGTCTACCATTTCTGATATTACAGGAATACTTAAAATCATTAATCCACTGAAAATTTGAAATACATGCACTAGCACTTGAAATATGAAGTTTACACTGAATATGCTATTCCTTGCAGATCAAATCCAGCAAAGCTAATGGAACACTCCCTGTTCAGAGATCTAAGACAGGGGGATGTGAGTACTGTGATCATTGTTTATACATGTACTTCAAAATAAACATACATGTAGTTACTATTAAACTAGTGTCAGAATTGTTTAAAGAATTATGTGAATTTGATTTCTTTAACCCAAATTTATTATATTTTAGAAATCATTGAAACATCAAAAATCAAAGTTTAATTCAACAAATTTAATATATACATGTTCCATCTTAGATAAAGAGGAAAAATGGTTACAGACCATTTTCATCAGATCTACGCAGTCTGGACTTAGAACTCCCTGTGCTAGGACAGAATGGCTATAATATAAAAGGTACGAAAGGTTCATATACAAATACATGAACAATGTTAATATACTGATAATATAAATGATATGCAACAAAATTAATGGAACATGTATTTACATTACCTATATTCACCACCAGTAAGATAAACTGTGTAGTGTCTTGTACTGCTTACTGTAAACCAACTATTATTTGTGTCATCTTTTATTTGCGATTCCTTAAACTTGAAATCAATCTGCGATGAATAATTTCCGCGACTTATGAAATGTTCTATACAAATACGTGTACCTAAGGAAAATTGAATGGTTTGCGGCGATGAATATTCACGAGTTAGAATAGGTCGCCAAACTCGCAGATATTTCTCGCACACGAATAAAAGTTGATTTACAGTATTTTCAAAGCCCCCATCATCTAATATCTGTGCATTACTTTGAAAGGTAGGTTATTCTGTCAAAAAAGCTATGGTAATTGTGCATGTGTAGGAAAAACTTGACTCCTGTACCCTCGTACAATGTCTGTGAAATAAGGGAGGGTGTGTCTGTGGGTATTATGACAGAATTCTATATTAAATCTAGATTATGATGAGGACCACCTGTCTCTGAGGTCTATGGAGGAGGTGTACTACTTATGGCGGCTAGCAGGAGGGGAGCTGTTTGGTGCACTGAAGAAAGAGGGATTAGTCAAAACTAAACCCCCCATCCATCTCTTGCCATAGTAAGTGAGGCTCTGAAAGACAGTGCTGCAAAAACAAGGGGAGAAGATCACTAAATTTATTAAAAAAAACTCGTTAACACATTTTTGCTGTATAAAAATAGTGAAAATTAATGCATGCTTATGGAAAATTAGATGTACATGAAGTTCAAAGACTTCAAACTGACAGAAAATTGAATCTTTCTCTACAGTTATTCTACACTGGATGGGGAAGTTTTTGGCCAGAGGAGAGACCAGGCAGAACTGTTAGATGGGACCATCATAATTCTGTCTCAGGAACAACTCAGGAAGGTATAGTCATAATACACCCAATAATAAAAAACAAACCATAAAATGAATTACTGTAGACGTACTTTTTTTCACGGGTTCATAATTCCGCGGAATCTCAGTTTCTGTTTAATCCGCAGGTAGAAAATTACGTGGATTTTCTAGATTGTCACTGTATGCCTTACTTTTATAGTAAGTACGCTTGGACAAATTTCCGCGCAAAATTTGTGACCGCGTACATAGCGTAATTTAATATCACGTGGAAAAAAGTACTTCTACAGTACTAGTATTCTTGTCCTATATAATTTTGCACATTTTTCTAATTCTGTTAAAACCCCTTAAAATTCAGATACATAGCTGTACAATTAAATTGAAATTTACAGAGATTAAGTGAAATAGAAGAAACAGCTTATTATCCCCTGTTGGAAGATGAGTGAGTTATCACATTTGATATTCTTTGCATTTATTAAATTTCATTATTTTTGAAAAGCAAAATGTAGAGAGACTTGTCCATTATCATACAGTACTTGTTGTAGAAGTGTACTGTGAAATCACGAATTTTCGTGGGGGTTTAATTTTCATTGTTTTTGAGGTATGACAAGACCCACGAATTCATGTCCACCACAAAACGTAAAATGTTACATAAGTACTCATTAATTCTTGATCCACGAAATCAAATCCCCACGAACCAAGAAAGTTTCCTCAAACCACGAAAATTTGACCTCACGAAAATATGTGATTTTACAGTATTTAAATTTTAATACCTGACAGTGTGGTTTTATATTTCATGTCACAGAAATAGCCAGGTTTCATCGACCCTCCCTTCATCTTCGAGCAACTCGGAGATTTCTGAGACAGCTAACCTCCCTTTAGTCATCAGAGAAAGGGATGTGGAGTATCAGGTTAGGTTATTGTTTAGAGATCAATTAATTTAACATATGTAGGTAATCTATGGTCCTCTGTCATGTCAAAAATTAACACCTGCTGTGCATTTTTACACTTATCTTCAAATTACCAAAGGTATGTTCTTTTTTCCAGTTTCACAGAGTTATCCTATATGAGAGATTGATAAAAGGATATCCTTACAAGAAAAACCACATCTTTAAGGAGTCCCGAGTGGACATTCCCCCTCTGGTTAGAGCTCATGTCTGGGCAGCTCTTCTGGAAGTCGAGGTAAATAAAGACCTTGTTAAAATATACAAATGTAAACTGTGGTTGAAGGCAACATTGATTATTTTAGCCTCCAAGGAATGAAATATTGCCCGAAGTGAAGTGGAGGGAAATTTTTTGATTTCTATTCATTCTTTTCTGGTTCCAGGGCCATCAACACTTTGCTGGTCAAAAGTGAAAATTCAATGACTGTCAATATTTTAAGGAAGAGCTTAATCAATTATATTGAATGTTTCTCTATATAGAGAATATAGGGACTTTTCTTTACTGAATGTAAAAATGCTAGTCTTGTTATTGTCCACAGGAATGGCTGATCTAATTGCTGTTGTGTCGGAAAGTGCACAAGAGCAATTAAGAAATTATTTTTTTTTACTGGTTTGATAAAAGTTATAAAGTAATAGTGTTTATATAATTAACATGTTTCACACTTAACCTAAATTGTTGTTTACTGTGATGTGTATATTCTCTGTAGGGTGATATATACTCAAGATATGATGCCATAGATAAGGAGACCCCAACTACCACTGACAGACAGGTCAGACAAATTTAATAATTCATAATGTATAATTCACATGGTGTTTCATTCACATGGTATATAATTTTTAAGTGATATTCTCATAACACTTTTGATTTCAGATAGAGGTAGACATACCCCGTTGTCACCAATATCATGAACTCCTGTCATCTCCTACTGCCCATTCCAAGTTCAAGCGGGTCCTCAAAGCGTGGGTGGTCAGTCACCCCCAGTATGTTTACTGGCAGGGCCTGGACTCCCTCTCAGCACCCTTCCTGGCCCTTAACTTCAACAATGAAGGTACAAATCATCTTCTTAATTCGGTTTATCTAATTTCTCTTATTGAGGAGAAAGAGAAAAACTTGTATGAACAACGATTTGAAATTAATGTAATTTTTAACCTTATAGATAAAGTTTTATTTTTTTTTCAGCACTAGCTTACACCTGTCTCTCTGCATTCATTCCAAAATATCTACACAACTTCTTCTTGAAGGACAACTCTCAGGTCATACAAGGTATGTGACAATATCTACATCACCTGAGCAGACCTGCCAAGTGACCCGCATTCGGTGGGTCACACCCGCAAAATTGACCTCTCACCCCCCACTCATATTGACCCGCGGCGTGTCATTGTTTTCACCCGCAAAATCGATCATCCCAATTTTTTGACCCAATATTAATTAAGCATGTTTGTCTCGTCTCAACAAGAAAGATCTGAAAATTCATCCTAAAATTTCCGATTTGTGTTTTATAAATCAGGATATGAACATCTTGTTTATTCAATGCACACAGATTAGTATATTTGTTTGCCGAGGTGTTAAAAAAACTGTTAATTAAGCACAGGAAATCACTTCACGCTTGATCGCAGACTGACACAGCTGTACAGGTAATATGCCTGGAGCATTTAGGGGATTATACGTAACCATTTGAAGGGGTATATGCATGGTGAACCACATAGATTTAGAGGTTAATTAAATATCATTTTATTAAAAACAGAAATTAATTAATTAAATACAATGATATGATAAACATTGGGATCGTTTTTTAAAAACGAAAGTAAAAAAACGAAACTACAAAGCATAACTGATAACAGCTGATTTTATCAGCTCTCGTATATTGAAATTATTGTTAAGAGTAGTGGTTAAAAGAAAATGATATTAATTAAGATAAAGCAAAAGAGTCTAAAGTGAAGTATATTGAATTTCTCCCCCCCCCTCCCAAAATGTAGTATTGTACGTTGTGTTTCTTTGTTAAATGGCTATGACAAGGGAATACCCACTTGTCAGTCACATCATGACTCTAACGATTTTAAGTTTTTGTTTGGGGTGTTAGGTATCCTTCATAATTTATTTTGTAGTATTTGATTCATTTAATTTTTTTTTTTTTGTGTGTTTTAAAATTAATAATAGGAAATTAGATGGCACATATTTCTTACCACCACCCCCTGCAGCAGCAATTTTTCAATATCAATCTTTCAATGTAATGTCTAATTACAATTTTCTGATTGTGTAATATGTTGAAAATTAATCATTGTAGAATCTAACAAATGTTTCCCAGAAACTTTTTAAATTTTTAAAACTTTGCAAAAATTCTATTGAACTAAAAGTATCTGAATCTTACTATCAATCTGAAAGTGTTCTTATACAAGCAATTTTAAGTAACCTGTCCTAAGTAAAAATTAAGTCTGCAATAAAATATAACATATACATGCATGTGTTTGACTGTTTGCATTGATGCCTAAAAATTAGGGAGCATTTTGTTACTCAAACCTCAACAAAAATGTCGCCGCGCGCTATGACCCAACATTTCAATTCTGAATGTTGGGTCATGACCCCCCACAGCATCAATTTTGGTTGGCAGGTCTGCCTGAGTCTTTAAGGTCAAGATCTAGTAAATGAATTTAGAATAACTTTTCAGTGCTAAATCCATTATGACGTCATAATCACTTTCAACTTTCTTTTTCCGTACTTTACGGCTCTAATAGAATTATGTAGAAAATAAAGTATTTTCATTGAATTCCATTTGAAATCACATGAAAAGTAGCCCCGATACCTATCTTAAATTTGACATTATTTCAAAGTAGAGACTAAGAACATACAAATTACCGTTTTCTGAAAAACTGTAGGCAATCTGGATATATTTTATTTGTCTGATATGGAAAAAACTCCCATTTTCATGACTGGTTATCTTAATTTTTCATTGAAAATGACAGTTTAAAATATGGTTTTTCATCTTGTTTTTCTACAAATTATGCCCCGAAACACCTATTTTGACCAAGCTAATGTTATAAAGCATCATTAAAGGAATAACTTTCTTAAATTTGAAAAATCTGTAGGCACCTTCCATTTACTAGATCTTGACCTTAAGGTGACGTTTTGCTGACAAACCCATTTCAATTCATTATTGCTCGCTGGTTTGTGTTTTGTTTTATACACATTTTCACTGTTGAAGCCTGTTATTTATCCTGCACTTGTATTACAATTTATTTTTAGAGTACCTTGCAGTATTCTCTCATCTCATCACATTTCATGATCCTGAACTCAGCAACCATTTAGATGGAATTGGGTTTATTCCTGATGTAAGTCATCAAATATTTGATTATTCTAAATAAATATGCTTCAGAAATGATATCATATGTCTAAAGGTTTTCTTTGTTAACAATTATTTGTTTTTTTTTCCCAGTTGTATGCAATCCCATGGTTCCTCACAATGTTTGCTCGTAAGTAGAAATTTACAAAAAATATATATTTATTATAATGATCTTGCATGACTACATGTACCATTATGTATCTTACAGAGTGTGCCATTAGATTTTTATTGAAACATATGATACATGTTTTTTTATGTGGTTTGATGCTAGTATTTTCTTTTTACAGATGCCTTTCCGATTCATAAACTGGTTCACCTTTGGGATACACTGTTACTAGGCAACTCTTCTTTCCCTCTGTGTATAGGTGTAGCCATACTGCAGCAATTCAGGGACCGTCTTCTGTCTTATGGATTCAATGAATGTATTCTGCTGTTCTCCGACATGCCAGGTTATTTTAATTTATATTGGTTTTAAGGGGGACGACTGTGGTTTTATTGTGTGAAAATTACAATAGCGAAACTCTTCATTTTTATACCATATATAACTTACATTAACTTAAGTGTACATGCAAAGTTTGGGCGAAATTTACCGTCCAAGGTATTTTTAAAGGGCCGTCTCAAAATATAGGTTCATTTTCTATTGGATTATATAGGAAAGTGTCAATTTTTAGCACTTTAAAGCAAATTATACAAACACTACAATAGACTTTTGTTTCAAACTATAAACTATGATGAGTAATACTACATGTATATTGTACATTATGTGTAAAAACACAAAATTCGACCGTCTTGTTACCAGAGGGGGCATCTCAAAAGGCCAAAAATTAACGAATTTCCCTGTTTTTATAGAGCAGTACAAAATAAGGTGGACACAAAAGTATGATATGAAAAAATTAAAAGAATGATGGAGAGATTCTCAAATTTCTACGTTTTAAATTTCAAGAGAGTACGTTTATTACTTTTTATTTAATAACATTTTCATTACCCTTTCTTAAAGAGCTTCAGTTTATAATAATGTCAAAAACACACTATAACGACGTCAACCTACCTATCATTTGCAAAATTGGTTAAAAATTCTGTTTATATATACAATTGTGATTACATTTTTGAACCTGTAATTTCTTAATTTTGCTTAATTTTATTAATCATGTGAAAAAAGTTGCTTTAAAACAGTAAATACTCTTCATTTTACTATGATGCACGAAATATGCGCAATGAAAACTACAGTCGGCTCCCTTAAATGAATTTCTGTTCTGAATTAACATGGTACATTTATTGACTATAATTCATATTTAATTAAATGGTATATAAATTTGGTTCTAGGTCAGATTTTTTTTGTAGAAAACTATTTTTCTTTGAGCAGTGATTGTGCAGTAATTTCTTTTTTTTTAACAGAGATCGACATACAGAGGTGTGTACAAGATTCCATCAAGATTTTCTGCAGCACTCCAAAAAGTGCCACATTCCGACAGTATGCTAGGGAACCAAATAAGCCCTGTGATACCAAACCTAATGTGTCTTATTACTCCAAGGACTACAATGAACAGCCAAAATCTGAGCTGGTACCCAGATTTATATTTTGATACATTGACTTATTTTTAAAAATTCTTCCTATATGCTTATGAGACAAGGGAGGGAAAGCTAACTTGCAGAGTTGATATGAATTAATGAAGAAAGTTAAAATATTGTGTCAATCTGTATATTCAAGTATTTTGAGTACTTGTACACTATTGTAATCTAATTGTTTATAGTCAATGGAACCAATCAAAGTTGAGGAGCTGAAATCAGAAAAATGTTGTCGAATCTCTGCTGAAGATTTGATAGAGTTGGGTGAACTTTGTGGCCCTGCTTCGACCAGAAGCCCAACCAAGAGACGAGCAAACAGTAAGCCGATGATCATCGTGATTGACACCAGGAACCCTGAGGAGTATCCTTCTCTTAATGATTCTTAAAATCCATACTGAGCCACTGTCTTAGTAGCTTCCATTATGGATAACAATACTCACCCTATAGTTTTATTCATCTTCATTATTGTACAATATATATATATATATATATATATATATATATATATATATATATATATATATATATATATATATATTAGGGATGTCAACGAGTACCCGGTTAACCGGGTACTCGATCGAACGTCCGAGTATCGAATACTAAAATCGGTACTCGGTTACTCGGATGTATATTTTTGAATATTTCTAAGCTTATTTATTAATGCATTAAACAATCTCTTTTAAAACGTAAAATACTCATTGCACTTGTACATACAGTAATTAGGGTTTCCTACTCCTCTAAATGACCGTTATCGCCCGTGGCAGTGTTTATACAGTAATTATCGTGACCAAGCACCTGTTACCTGGCTTTTCTCACCTTTGGCTGTCTTCTACCCTTATTTTTTGATTTCCTTTAATTATTTGTTTTCACTGAACATCTTTTAAGGTCTGTTATGATTAAATAAATTAGATAATTTTGTCAATTCTCCGAGAAGCCGTAAATTCTCAGGAATAGAGACAGATGATATTACACGCGCGTCTGTTGATATGGTTGTGTTTGATTACATGCCAATACATGTACAAATAGTTGACGGCAAAGGCTTAAAAAAAATGATGTCCATCGTTGCACCAAACTACAAAATACCGTCCCGTGATACTATAAAATGTAGGATCGAAAAGTATACGAAAATCGTAAATCGGTTCTGTTAGAACTTGATCAAGTTCAAGTCAAACTGTACGACTGATATATACCTTGATGTCAAATGCAACAAAGAGTTACATTACAATTACGTAGTAGATTATTTTTCTTTTAAACAAAAACACCATGAACCACTTACGATTTTATTTCTTGTGTTTATCTGATAAATAAATTGAACTTAAATAAATGCTGTATTAAATTTCGTCGAGCACGAAGATCTAATCATTGTTACAACAGAAATGCATTAATTTTACGTGTAAACCTCCTGTCAGAGCATGTGGTTTTATTTTCTACAAGTGTTTACAATGTTTTACATTCATCAATTTACTTGTTCATATTTATTTACACTTTTACCGAGTACCCGGGTACTCGATCGGAAAAACGTCCGAGTAACCGAGTATTAAAAATTGACCGATTTGACATCCCTAATATATATATATATATATATATATATATATATATATATATATTTTGTGACTGCATTTTTCACAGAGAACAATTTGACATTTGTAGGGTAAGAAAAAGATAAAAGCAGACCTTTTACAATCATTTTACAACTACTGGTAAATTATTTGAATTCCTTAATTTTTACAAGCTATGCTAAAGGAACCATTCCTGGCAGCATTAACATTCCCTTTCCTTCTGCCTTTT